CAATGCCACGAGAAGATTGTGAACGAAGGTCGGCACATGTCCTGCGCCGAGTGCAGAACATCGTATCATCTGGGGAAGCTTTGCTCCGGTGTTGCGGAAAACACATTCAATGCCATGGGTGTTGGAAAACGAGAGGTCTGGCGCTGCCGTGTGTGCCGACAACGACATAGCGGGAATGAGTCTCGAAGTGAAGCCAGCTCGTCACAATGCGCGTCTCCTGCTGGTACGGAACATCTTCGGTCGCTGGAAGCTAAACTGGAGTGTCTCACCTTTCTGAAGGCCAATGTTGACACCCTCCTCGACTTACCAACTCAGATGAATCAACTCCTGACATTGAAACCGGTAGTCGAGAGCCTGAAATCCGCAGTAACGGAGGTTCAGAAGGCCGAGACTTTCTGTAGGCTCGGTACGACTCTCTGCTGTCTACAGCCACTACCAACTCAACAGCGATAACAGAACTCCGTGAGGAAACGACATTGCTAAGAAGCGTGGTAACAGAGCAGTCTCAGACAATCGAGCACCTGAAAGAAGAGCTGAACGATAGCGACCAGTACAGTCGTCTCTCAAACCTTGAGATACATGGACTCCCTCATGCCCCAAGCGAAAACTTAGTCTCCGTTGTGGGCGAGTTGGCTGGCAAGCTAGGCCTTGAAAACTTTCAGCCAAGGGATATACTGGCGGTGCATCGTCTGCCATCGCGGCGTGACGGCCCTCCAGTTATCTTGGTTAAATTGGCTTCAGTGTCGCTAAGAGAACAATGGCTCGCCACGCGAGGTAAGCTGAGAACTCTGGCAGCAGAGGGTTCGTTGCCCAAACTCTTCCTCAACGAGAACCTAACGCGAAAGAACAGGGAACTCTTTTGGATGGTACGGGAGAAAGCAAGAAGCAAGCAGTACCAATTCACTTGGGTGAAAAATGGGAAGCTATTTGCAAAAAAGTCAGGAACCTCGTCCCTGGTTCGCATCCACCGGTTGGCCGACCTTGAATTGATTGTGTAACTCTTTTTGTTGCTAAACGGCTTAAAAATACCAGTAGATAACAACCGCATCGAATAATGAAAGTACAGTTTCGTCAATGTTCAGATTTTTCTTCGTTTCAACGTTTCTCGGAACCAGCTAGTGTAAGAGCTCTTACATTTACATGTAAGAGCCTCTTGGGCTCTTACATGTAAATATTCGAAGTATTCGTAAATATTGGGACCAGTTTGTAATAACTGTAAACAATACGTATCCACTGTTTGATGTTTTTGTGCTAACATATATCAATGTTAAAGACGATTTCTGTGGTGAGTTCCGGATACCGGGATATAAATCATTCTTTCTTACACGGCCGATTGGACGAGGAGGAGGAATTGCGATATTTGTTAAGGACTTGTGGTGTACTGAAACACTTGATGTAGAGTTTTGCCATTGCCAGTCTTTGTCTATGAGGCTATGGAATGATAAGTGGTCGTTGATTTTATTAGCTTTTTACAGACCTCCTTCAGTTAATCCTTTAAGATTTTTAGAAGAACTAAAAAATACACTTGGCAATTTTCAGTCTGTCGACATCTGTTTAGTAGGTGATTTCAACATTGATACGCTTCAACCCGCCAAGTCTATTGTATGTGACTATCTGAATCTTTTAGAGCATTTTGGTCTGGAGGAACTGATTTTAGCTTTAACTCGAGAATAACTCTTGGATAATCACCTTGTGGCCTCGTGTCTGGATCATATAAGCATACGCGCTCCGAATGTTGTTGCAAAATCGGCCGTAATAGAGCAAAAATTAGCCGACCACTACTTTGTGGCGTGTCAACTTGCATCCCAACTCACGATGAAAGCAACAATAGCGATAACAAAAACACTGAAAATAACTGATAAAACTAAATTTTATAATTTGGTTAAAACCTATGATTGGAATAGCTTACTCTCTATTCAAGACTTTGATGAAGTGTACTGTAGGTTTAGAGATATATTTGACTACTTCAAGGACAAATCTAAAAAGGTTATCACTCTGAGGCGGCGTCGTAGCGAACAAGAATGGTTAACGAGTGACATTTTGTCAGCTATCCGCTGTAAAGATGTTCTTTGGGCTAGATGTCGGCGATCTCCAACCAATACAAACTTGAAAAAAGAATTCCGTAGTATGCGAAACCGTGTAACCGCGCTTATTCCATCAGTAAAAAGAAAATACTTTCGAAATAAGTTTTTTAAAGCAAGGTCAAATATTTCAATGACTTGGAGTTTAATAAATCAAGTACGAGGCATGGGTGTAAAGAGATCGATAGACGCCTCCCTAGAGAAAGTGTTTGGTAACAATACGACAAAACTTGTAAAGGATTTCAATATGTTCTTCGCAAAATATTCTGGAGTAGCTCGGGATGATACTATGTTCACGGCAGATTTTCTTGATTCAAATGTTTCCTCGGCATTCCTTCCCGAAATGTGTGAACATGATCTACGCACTTTGCTTTTTAGTTTCAAAACTAACAAGGCGCCCGGTATCGATGGTATCAGTGCAAATGATCTGCGCCGAAATTATGATTCTATAAAACTTGTGCTCCTTCACATGTTAAATGGCTTCATTTCCTCCGGAATGATCCCGGTTGATTTGAAAAGTGCGCTAGTGAAGCCCGTATTTAAGGGGGGAGAGCATAAAAAACTTGACAATTATCGACCAATTTCCATTTTGCCCTGTATTGTCCAAATCTTAGAAAAACATATTTTTCAAACTATGACGGCCTTTGTTGATCACTTTAATATTCTGTCGCCCAGTCAATGTGGGTTTGTGAACGGACGTGGGACACAGCCACTTTTGGAAGATTTTGCAGATGAATTGCACCTAGCCTTCGAGAGGCATCAGATTGCTTGCGCACTTTTTATTGATATAGCAAAGGTGTTCGATTCAGTGAGTCACAATATTTTACTAACAAAATTGCAAAACATTGGATTCCGCGGCCCATTTCTTTCTCTTCTCCGGAACTTTTTAACTGAGAGGACACAGCTAGTTTCTATAGGTAATAGTCGAAGATCCCGAGTTACCTTAAAGGCTGGGGTTCCCCAAGGTTCTGTTTTGTCACCTTCTCTTTTTAACATTTTTGTAAATGATATGTCTAACTCAGTTTCAACATGTAAATTGTTCCAATATGCGGATGACACCAGTGTTGCTTTCAAAACATCTTGATTATCCTGTAGCAATCGCATTACTCCAAGAGGACACTTGTCAACTTAATGACTGGTTTAAGACAAATTGTCTTACGATAAATGCATCTAAAACTCAGCTTGTCTGCTATCGTAACCCTCTTAAGATGTTAACGCCCAATCATCCTATTTATATGCATACCTCTCTTTGTACATCTTGTAACTGTTGTCCCATATCTTATGTAGATCAAGTTAAATATTTAGGAATTCAATTTGAAAGTGATTTGTCGTGGAATTCTCACCTGTAAAAACTTTGTAAACGACTGAGAAATGTAGCTTGTTTACTGTACAATACCAGATCTTTAATACCTTATTCAACGAAAAAGACAATAGCTCACGCTTTGGCATGCAGTGTTTTGCGTTACGGAATAACTATTTTTGGTCACAGCCCAGGACGATGGGGTCAAAAAATAGACTCAGTCTTAAAAGGAATATTTAAAAGCATTGTTTATGGTTCCATATCGCAAACTGAAGAAGAGATCGTAGCAGTCTTGGGCTTGCCATTGTTCCACTCCTTATTGGTTCAGACCGTTATATTGAAACACTTTTGGTGTGATAATTTCAGAGAACCTCATGTCGTATCTAGATCACTTCGACATACCGAGCGCTATGAAATGCCTTTTGTTGTGACAAACTACGGAAAAAGAATTCGGAGTTTTTATGTTCCCTATATATTTAATAGCCTACCGGACGATGTTTACACTGTGGACTCACTAAACAAACTGAAGCAAATGCTCCGATCTAAAAGTGCAAGTTTTTGACTGTGCTGTGTATGTGCATGTGTTTGTGTGACCATCATCGTTTATATTGTGATGTATGTTGAGCTTGGAAGCTTACGTGTGTGGGGACGCTTTTTTATCACAAACTGTAGGGTCTTGTCCGACAAGCCTTTTGTCTGGCTTTGACAGACCCGCCTCACTATGAAGTGAACTACACGCGTAAATAAACATTATTATTATTATTATTATTACTATTATTATTATTATTATTATTATTATTATTATTATTATTATTATTATAACTTTCGAGTTGCTCGAATGTTTCTGTAAATATTGGTTTCTATCGCTCTCTCCATCGTAATTCATCCGAAGTTCCATCCCTGGAGAAACCCAGCCCACGGTGTTGCAACTCCAACTCTGTGCAACAAGACGATTGAACTAGTTACAAGAATGATCCATCGCCCGCTACCGGTCAAGACCTCCATCTTGAATCATCCATCTCTGCACCTCTGAGTGACGACGCCGGTAACTCAAGACATCTTATGCCGACGACTCGAAACGCCCACTGGAAGTCCTCACCCAGGCCGTGCAAAGCTTCTCCGACAAGCCTCCTATTTTACGGTCAGAACCGGCACCATCAACTCGGTATCTCTACCGGATCGTCCGTGCAAGCCCATTCAGCACCATCTGATGCAGTGTTTCCCGGCACCCGCTTGCACGCGCAGTTGTAGTTTTTAATCTTTGTGGGTGAGCCTGGAGCTATTTCTTTGTCTTGTCTTTTGTCTTATTGTAAACTACTACCTGTACCAGCAACAACGTCGTTCTACGCAGCATTCCACCATGTCATCAGACGACACTTGTCTTGTATGCTCTGAATCTCTACCAAACAACGGCCGCTTCATGAAATGTGCCGATTGTGCACGAGCGAGCCACCTTGGGAAAAAATGTTCGGGGGTCTCTGAAAACACCTTTAAAGGCATGAGCGCCTCCAAACATGAGAAACGGTGTTGCCTTGAATGTCGAGGAGGACTCGTGAGGTCAAACTTAGACTCCAATCCAACAACGTCATCTCAATCAGACCCCTGTTCGTTTTTGTCAGAGCTGGCTAAAGTAAACAAAAAGCTAGACCTCCTACTCTCCAAGAAAGACACCGTCGACACCCTTCATGATTTACACCCAAAAGTCGACGCTCTGTTGTCAATGAAACAGGTGGTAGACACTATGCAAGACTCGTTGAATGCGCTGCAGGAATCCGTAAATTTTGTCTCCGCTCAATACGATTCGCTCGTGACAACAGCGAAATCCCAAGACCACACCATCAAAGCCATGCAACTAGAACTGAGCGCCCTGCGATCTTCTACCGCGGAGCAGGCGCTCGAAATACATCGGCTGAAATCATACCAAAACGACAAGGAGCAAGTCGATCGTCTTTCCAACATGGAGATACATGGTATTCCGTTGAAAACTCAGGAAAATATTCGCGATATCATGTCAGACCTCGCGGAGAAAATTGAAGTTGAGGATTTTCAGGCTGTTCATGTTATGTCCGCCCATCGCCTGCCTGCTAGGCCTGCTAGGCCGGCTGCTATACCTCCTATAATGGTTAGGTTCTCGTCTGTTGCTCTGAAAGAACGTTGGATGTCATGCCGTGGGAAGCTCGGCTCCCTACCTAGTGATGGTTCTCATCCTCGAATATATTTGAATGATAACCTCACAGATTCCAACAGGAAACTATTCTGGATTGCCCGAACTAGAGGAAAAGAGAAGAACTTTAAATTTATCTGGGTACGACACGGCAAAATTTTTACAAAACAAAGCCAGGGATCCACGACACTTCACATCACTAATACTGAAGCATTGGAGCTAATCACCTAGAAACGAATGGCTAGCTTTTTTCGGCTTAACGACCTTCAATCTTGCCTAGAAATCTTTACAACAAGCGCGTGTTCCTTCACTTTATTTCATGTTAATATCCGTAGCCTCCGGAAGCACTGGGACGAATTCCAACTGGCTATTAACTCTGTCCTACCAATAACTGACGCATTTGTTCTAACAGAAATCAATATTTCTAATGAAAACACAGAAAAATTTTTCTTTCCCGAATTCAAAAGCATTTTTTACACTCGCGACAATAGACGCGGCGGTGGAATCGCAGTTTTTTTAAAACAAGAGCTAATTTTTTCGGATATACAAGTAGCGTTTCGGTCATATGAATCAATAGCACTGCGCATACTTACATCAGTCTCCGATCTATGCTTGCTGGCTTTTTATCGACTACCCTCTGAAAAAGTTTCCGAATTTTCGGCCGAGCTTCGAGAGTGCCTATCAGCTCTGCCAGATAAAGCAGCCCTTTGTCTAGTAGGAGATTTTAACATCGATTTACTGAAGTCTTCGAAGCCCCTTGTGTGCGAATATCTTACTCTCTTGCCAGATCATGGCATCGAGCCGTTAATGTTTGGTCCTACAAGGGAGGAACTGTTCAGAAGCAATTTGGTTACTTTTTCGATAGATCACATTAATTTAAGGTCGCCATTACCAAATGCAAAAGCAGCAGTCATAACTCAAAAACTATCGGACCATTACTTCGTGGCATCCCACATAGAATTTCCTGGCGTTACATCAAAAATAACGCAAAATAAAGTGCGTCAAGTTGAAATTACTGACCATCAAAAACTTGACAAATATATATCCACCTACGACTGGCAGGCTTTTACACAAACAGACTTGGACATATACCCCTCGTTTGTTAAGCTATTTGGGCAGTTCTATGAGAACTCAAAAAAGGTTATCTTCATAAAACAAAGAAAAGCAAACCTGCCATGGTTAAATAAGGATATACTATCTGCCATAAAGCTTAAAGAAATTGCTTGGAAAAAATGTCGTCGATTACCACAGAGCTCGAACTTCCTATGTGAGTTCAGAACTATTCGCAACAGAGTAAGCGCCCTGATTCGTTCAGCAAAGCGTCTTTACTTTCATAAACAAATTCTAGAATCTCGAAACAATCCTGCGAAATCCTGGTCATTGATAAATGAATTACGGGGAATTCGTTCCAAACAACTAAAAGAGAATGCATTCAACGCTTCTTTTGGACCTGATCCACTGGCTACGGCTCGTGCCTTCAACAATGTTTTCGCAACATTTTCAGGCAAAGCCCGAGAAAATGAGTCATCAGCTTTTCATCTCCCTAACTCAAATATGGCGTCGGCATTTCTTCCACAAATGACCCTTTCCGACATTGAGACAATAACTTTTAGTCTGAAACCGAACAAGTCCCCAGGATACGATGGGATGCGCCTCAGCGATCTTCGTAGAAATTTCAACTATATAAAATACACACTTCTTGCAATCTTCAACAAAATAATCCTAACTGGTTCAATTCCTATCGAACTCAATACCGCCATTGTTAAACCTCTTTTCGAAGGAGGACAACGAGGCCGAATAGAAAACTATAGGCCAATATCTATTCTGCCATGTTTGGTTAAGATATTAGAAAAATTTATTTACATAACGATGGCTTCCTTTGTAGATAAATACAACCTCATATCTCCCACCCAGTACAGATTTATTCCGGGGCATGGTACTCAACATCTTCTCGAAGCTTTCTCAGACAACATAAATTTAGGTTTCGAATCTAACCTTTCTACATGTGCATGTTTTCTCGACGTCTCCAAGGCGTTCGGCACTGTAAACCATTCCATTTTAATACAAAAGCTCTCAGCTGTTGGTTTCCGAGGGCCTTTTTTGGCCCTGTTAAAACATTTTCTACAAGATCGAACACAAATGGTTTCAATAAAAGGAATATGTAGCAACAAAATTTCCCTAAAAGCAGGTGTGCCTCAGGGCTCGATTCTATCACCTCTGCTCTTTAATATATACGTCAACGACATGTATACCTCCATCTCAAACTGTACCATCTATCAATATGCTGATGACACTCTTCTGCTAACGAGTCATCTTTATTTTCCCATAGCGATGAAAATGCTACAGAAATACTCCATCGAATTAATGGACTGGTTTGGCAAAAATTTAATCGATATAAACGTCTCAAAAACAAAATTAGTTTGCTTTCACAATCCACTTAAGACTATCGTTTTAGACATTTCTCTTCTGCTTCACACATCACAATGCGTCGCCTGCCACTGTGCTCTCATTCCTTATTCGAACACCGTAAAATACTTAGGTATTCTTTTTGGCTCAGACCTCTCGTGGAACTCACATTTCATAAAACTATGCTCAAAATTAAGGAGTGTTTCCTGCTTATTATACAACATCAAGCCCTTCCTGCCATTTGGTATCCGAAAACTTATAGCTAACTCGTTAGCATATAGCATACTCCGCTATGGCATAACAGTTTTTGGCAACTGCTCCGGGTTATGGCACAAAAACGTCAACAGCATCTTAAAAGGAATCCTGCGTCATGTACTTTACAAACCCACGACATCTTGTCCCGATCCTTTTCAAGCCCTCTTCATGCCTAATTTTCAGTCTCTCTTGTTTGAAACGATCGTGCTCACTCATTACTGGAATGACGAATTCAAAACACCCCGTCCAACATCCCGTCAACTACGACTAGACACTCGGTTTTATGTTCCCACGTGTTATACACGTTATGGCAAACACATGCGATGTTACTATGTTCCTCAAATTTTTAACTCGTTACCATCCAACTTTGAAGACCTGACTTCAAAAAAGAAACTAAGGAAAGCTCTACGTCATTACACTTCCTTAAACGAAACCCCTTGAAAGGCCTTTTTTTGTTTGTTTTTTTGCGGTTCTTTTTTGTGTTTGAAAGACCAAACGTCCCAGCTTTTCTTTTGCAACATTTTTTAAACATTTCTTTAAATTTTTATTTATGGTGCACTTTGTATTTTTTTTTTTTACATTTTACTTTTTTCTAACTTTGTAAAGTTAATGTGATTTATAAGGACCGAAGACTGATAGATATGCATATACCAGAGCTAATTGATAATGCTGATTGGTGCTTCAGTGTACATACTGTTGGTATGTAAAAGATTTGACATTCTGTGTCGCAGTACCAACCTCTGAAACTTCACGAATTTTTCTCAAGACTGTGACAAAGCTGACTTTTTTTTCATTTGTACACTTACTGTTACTGCGACGCTCAAGCTTTTTGTGTTCTTTTCTTCACTTGATACCGATGCGATGCTCCAGCTTTTTTTTCTAATACTTTTCTTGATGCCACTGTGATGCTTAACATTTCTGTTCTTAATACTTCACTCCACGTCACTTCAACTTAGGTTCTGTCCCACAAGCCCTCGATGGCTTTGACGAACCTGCATTCATTGCGACAAGTATCAAAGAGGAGCAATACACTTTATTATTATTATTATTATTATTATTATTATTATTATTATTATTATTATTATTATTATTATTATTATTATTACTCGGGCAGATGATATGAGTGGAGGCTGTAGTGGCGGGACTGTTATTTGGTATTTGAGAGGATAAGATCAATCTTTCTGGTCGGAATTGCGCTGTCTCGAGGTTGTTAAAAGATAGACTAGATGAGGGTTCCAAGGTGACGAAGACGACAGACCACACCCGAAAGGAACAGTATAAACTTTCTGGGCTTCGCATGGCAGGAAATGAATGGCATGCTCGACTGTGCATCCTTGAGGCTTCCCGCTCGAGTTCACTTTTTGGCAAAGCTGCTTAGAAGGCGCATCCGGCAGAAAAACACCACACTGATGTTGTACTTGGAAGCAATGCCCTTTAGTCGATGCGCTGAATTAGGAACCTATGGAATACCGGCGAAACGATCCCGCTTATTGGTTCTAGTTGTAGTATTTTGCAGGTGACGGCAAAAAAGGATTCTCTGCAGGGTGTCTTTCAGAAGATCTCCTGGCTAACAAGCATTGACAAGCCTCTGATGTTGTAGATAAAGCTGGTTGTTTTCATCTCAAATCGGGCAGGCTAAAAGGGTCTAATTTTTAATTTTCACAAAAAAAATATATGTTTTGGGGGTATTCCTCAAATGAAGGAGGGCGCAAACCGCATGTTCTCCAGATTTTTTGTTCTCGAGTTACGAGCCGTAGAAGCCACAGGGGCAGAAACTAGTTTTTTTGCCTGCGGTCGTAGGTCGCGTGTTTGACACCCTCTGCTAGCGCTATTGTTTTCTCTACACCCTTTTAACGTTTCCCACTTTTTTAATAGGTATTACAAAGATACCTTGATGTATTCAAATATTTTTTAGGAATTCGATTGTTTTCTAAAAAACATATCAAACTCGACACTCCGGTCGCTTTTCGGTCAAATTTGACAGGTCATTACTTTGTCTGTACTTAAGGTACATTTTCTTTCTTTGGCTCTACAGAAAGCCCAAAGGAAGCCCATTATAGATATAATAATATCATTATGATCTGTAGACTAGCCGTTCCGCTACCTTCACGTAAACGTTGTAAGAAATAAATGTTGAAAGTTTGACGTCGATTTTCTCAAAAACACCATTTTTATAAATTCTCGTTTTTTTAAATTCTTTTAGATTAGTCGACTACAAGAAAAAACAGTCTAGAAATGTAATATCTTGGTTGTATGTCCTCTGTTTGAGCCGCAATCGCGTGAAATGTGTGAATATTTGTTATTTTTCGCAACGTTTACATGAAGGTAGCGGAGCGGCTACTCGGCAGATGATAATGATATCATTATATCTATACTAGGCATGCTTAGGCAGACTTGTACACTTTACTGAAAAATAGTAAGGAATTACACTTACAATTACTCGAGGCTA